ATAGGGGGGAAGGGTAGGGAGCTGTTATGGTTCCTATTAACCTTGGTGAAAGTTGGAAACGGTAATATCATATATGGCATACATTCGGTTGAAAGTGTGTGCACGGAAAATAGATTGCGGATAGGATTTTAATAGATAAATCTGCACAAAAAAACACAAAAGGAGATTTTTGTATTTCCCTGAAGAATATCTCAAGGTTATTTCAGATGTACTCATCGAAACTTTATGGAAGGATTATCGAAACCTTATTTTCAATTGCGATAGGACCACATACCTCGACATCGCATTAATGTGAAAAATAAGACAATAGAAAAAAATTCCCTCACTGATGCTATCTCTTAGGAAAAATTTAACTATAAAGATTGCACAAAAATTTTCTTCACCTTTTTGAGCTTGTTTTCGCATCTCCGTATATGCCGTTCATAATTTGCTGCAGATCAAATTGGAATATACCTTTGTGATGCCATTTATTGTTATATAATGTCCTTTACAACAGTTATTGCACGTATTGCACTAACAGATTGATTTGTGATCCATGCGAATGGAGATCAACCACTCTGGCGAAAACTCGCCGAGCGTGGCAACCGTGCGACTTTGTCTGGAGGCTCGTCGCTACAAGCCAATCAGGAAGAGGCCGACAGAGCGCCATGGCTACCGATCACGCGTTGATCACGAATCAACCACTGTTTACGATTACTTTGTAGCTTCGTTAGATACACAGTAGAATATTTCATAAACTGATGTCAAATTATACGATGTTTATAAGCATATTTAATGATTAAATTCACTTAGTTTAGCTACATACACAAATTTTTTCTTTTAATCCTAGAAACAAAAATTTCCTCTGAAAGCAAGCCCAACTACTCAGGAAGAAGTGATATGCAGGGTGTCGTAAAAGTACCACGTATTTTTAGACTCGAACCAAGTGGATTGAATATGATCTACCTGTATCAACAGGGTTTCTCTTTTCTGTTAAAATGCGTCAAAGTTTTCTTTTTGAATCATATCTTTTCCACACATTTTAGGTACCTATAGTATGAATTAAATAAAATTTGGAACACGTGTCTTTTGCTAGAGGTTCTAATATTTGACATTTACACAAAAACCCGTTCAGCCTGGCTAGGAATTATAGGATACTCACGTTTGAGATTTGTACATAATGTATCAAAACGCAGAGCAGCTGATACGTCATTTCACAAGACAACTTTGTATACAGCTGAGTCAAATTTTAAGTCTATGTTTGTATGGAGATTATTGCTATTGATAACTTTTCACTTGGTTGCCTGATTAGTTGAAGGAAGCTTTATTTCCTACGATACGCTTTACCTGAACACTCAAAAGAACAGCTTCTGAACGTAAGAATATATGTGTTTTTTATGAATGATGGTAAAATGACGCGCTGTCAAGCGACCCATGGATTCGTACCTATCGTCCAACAATGGTCAAAGACTAAGCCTATCCCAACTAGCAAAGCAGTGGTATAAGCTTTTGGTAAAAGAACCGTTCAGCCATAAAAGCTCTCTATTGTTGTTGCCTGAATACCGAAATGCTGGCTTAATGTTGTGTGGGATGCCAATTTGCTTTCTGCAACATATTTGCTCTAAAATGAGGTGTTTAAAATATTCTTCAGCATAGTTATACAACATCTGATAGGGCAAATTTTTAACTGTTGCATAAACGTTTATACAACTATTTTATACGGCATATTTGCACGTTAGTCAAAGTGGTTGTGTTGTGGCATCCATGGTAACGTTTATAAAACAAACCCGAGCCTTGTTGTTTTGCTGTGCAATTTACTACTTTAGCCAACAAATTGCTCCCAATGGAAGCACTTATATAGTCAACGCCAAACAAAGTGGCGTGCACGTCATCAAGGTGGGTGTGTTGAAAAATTTACATTGTTGCCAAACTTTTTGTAAAATAATAAAATTTATTATTTACATATCTAGGTTTATAAGCAATATTAACCTCAAATGAGAACAAAAATAATAGTATAATAAAATTATAGATCTGTACTTGCATAATCATTAAGTATGACAATTATTGATCAGATGACACTATGAAACTACCATATTTAATTGATAGCTTAAAGGTACTGAATAAAAATCCAAATGGGGTCCTCCAAATTTTATGCATGGTATTTATTTTACAGAATTCATACAGAAAAATGCATTCTAAAATTAGGTAAGCTACTGGTGTAAGCTTTTTCTGTACAATGAAGTTAGTCGGAGTTTCTTCAGCGCTGTCTGAATCTGAATCTTCATCACTCTCAAAGTTGATTATTAAAGGTTCGATGTCTGGTCGATCAAAAATTCGTTCTCTTTCATACCATTTAAAAATTTCTTGCTCAGTATGTCGAACACTATTTTTCCACATGTCTGGGGTAACCGTTTGTAGAGCCTCGTTCCACATATCCAAACAGTCTTTCTCACTGTTACCATCTCTACCAATATGTCTGTTATAGTAACCTTTTGCTATGCCCCAAATTAACTCAATAGGGTTAAATATACAATGGTAAGGAGGCAGACGAAGAACTTTGTGCCCATGTTGTTCCGCCAATTCATCAATCACGTATATTTTAGGTGGTTTGTTTCTAAAAAAGCAGTTATTTTAAGATTAGGAATAAACAAAAGAAATATAAACTGTCGACCAAAATATATATAATTAAGAAGCATTGTGTACCGAGCAACAATACTCAATAGCTCTGTTTTAAACATTGTGTTTAAAAATGGTATGTTTTGATTTGTCAACCAGTCTTGGATATTTTTTTTTGTCCATGCATTGTTGGGCACTTTGTTCAATATCATGCTGTGATAAGGGGCGTTATCCAGTATAATCATAGATGGACTCTCCAATTTTTCTAATAACTGATGTTGAAACCATTTCAAAAAATTGTCCTGGTTCATCTCTCCATGGTAATCGCTCAATTTTGTTTTCGAAGAAAATATCGCTTCACTACCCTCAGTAAACCCATTTTCATTTCCAGCATGTAATATAATGTATCTAAAATATATTAGTTTTAAATTTTATAGTGCAAATTGTGTAAAAGTACATACCTTCTACCATCTGTTTTAATAGCTTTCACGCTTTTTTGGTTTCCATTTTGCCAAGAGCGACCTATGGTCCCATTTTGAAATATCCAAGTTTCATCGAGGAAGACAAACTGGTATAAGGCCTCAACCTTGGCTTGATTGTATTGCCTTAGAAATTCCACCCTTTTCAAAGCTATACTTGGTAGTTCCATGAGCCCTCGTCGCGGATTGTCCTTAAGCCACTTAAATCCAAGATCTCTAAGCAACCGCCTTAAAGACGTGGCACTACCATCAAATAATGCCCTATCTCTTAATCGAGACCATAAAGTTTGTATCGTAACTTGTTCTTCTGAAACCATGTGTAATATGACATTATAATTTAGTTAACAAATTAATGCAAATTTCTGATAAGTTATTATAATAAGATCTTACTTTTGTGATACATATTATAGATCACTTCTCGAATGGCACTTGTATCCAATGTCGCTGTGTTGGTTACACGTTTAATATAACTCCGCTTTTTCTTGGGCGATTCTAAATTTGCATCACTTTTCACACCCTCGGAAATACGACTAACTGTCCTTAAACTAATTTTTAAAGCAGCAGCAACACGCTACAAAAAATGAAATAAAATTTCACTATTATTAATATACATTACATATAATTATTAGTAACCTACCTCTTGAACAGCATTTAAAGGCAACAAAGGCCCGTTGTTGTCCCTTTCTTGCTCAAAGTAGTGCATTAACGAGGCCACGAGTTCCTTACACCGACTATTTAACTGTTTGGGCATCTTTATATACCAAAATTGCCTTTATCTACTCGTAAAATGAATAATTTTGTTTTGAAACAAACAGTTGTTGATTTACAGTATGCGGGGCCAAAGGATTTATAAAGATTTGAAATGCCACAAATTGATTCAGTGTCAAAATTAATACAAATGTCAGTTCCCAGTTTAAATAAGTTTCAAGGTGACAATGTGTCAACGCTGCGAAATCGGTTTAGTGCGTTTACATGTCGATAAGTGATTGGAGCGTTTGCAAAACATTTTATTTCGCATAATGCGTCTAAATTTATCAGAAAGCAACTTATGTGATATTTTAAAAACAATGTTTATATGACTATTAACCATAATAAGAGAGTAATGACCATTTTACAATTTATATATCACATTAATATGAAACTGCAATAGAGCAATTGTTTGTGATAGAAACCTAGGCATTAGGTCGGGGAATTTTTATCGTGATGACGTGCACGCCACTTTGTTTGGCGTTGACTATACAACTGTTGTTTAGTACCTGTTAACGGCTGTACATATGCTAAATATGTTGGTCAACAAGTTCACCATAACCTAACTTTCTCAAACATGCCATAACCAATGTTTTAAGACAAACAACGCATGCTTATTGGTTCAAAAGGTTTTATCAACTGTTCAAACAGAAGATATAGATCTGGTACAAAGTCTGGGCAAATCATTCGACTCTGTCGGTATTTCATTTCAGACATTTGTCAAATTGTTGTATAACACCAAAATATTCTAATAACCTAAAGACAACATGGACGATGCCACAATACATAAGAAATAGTTTGGTTGCAATAAAGTATAATCGCGTAACAGAATAGTTGTATAGTTGACAAAAGCTGAATCTTGCACTGACGCAAATGTCCTATAGCGGCTGCAAGGGGCTTACACTGTTGTTTTATAACTGTTACCTGCAGCCCTTATTTAACCTCTTAAATGACTGAAGTGTCCCATTAGGTGTGCCCATTCCGCTTGTGTAGCTGTTCTAAGAGGGTTTTGCCAATGTTCTTACAGTATACAATGCTGTTTAAGGAATACTGTATAATCATTCTTGCAACTCTAACAGGAGTGATAATTGTTAGTTGGGATACCTTACGATTTCAAAGCTGCGATCTAACCATACAAAGCTGGAGCTTGGACGCCTTGCACGTGCTGTAAGAAATTACCTGGACGACAAATTGTTACATTGATTGGTGGAGGTCGAGAGGCTCCTACTCAATGGCCACCTCGTTACCCGGATCTTGCTATTTTCTTATATGAGGAGCATTAAAGACAAAAGTATACGAGATTCAGATAGTCGACTCCAATAAACTTTGGGAAAGGATTCAAAATACTGCAAATAAGGGTTGTCAAATAGGGACGCAGGAAAGTAAACGTCAATTTGACATAGACGCCATCTTTGTTTTCTGTCACCGACATGTCATTTTGTTAGTTGAATGTTTATCATTGATCGCTATGGAGTCGTATTCGATTGAAGACCGCATTAAAGTTATTCAAGAGCACTACAAAAATGGTGCAAAAATAAAAAACACGTTTCGCGCGCTTCGTGAACATTTCGGTCGCAACAACCGCCCAAACGAAACAACCATCGGTGGTCTGCTGCGTAAATTCGAGGCAACAGGTTCTGTGGCAAATCTGCCAGGCTCTGGCCGGCCAAGGAGCGTTCGCACACCAGAAAATATTGCTGTTGTGAAGGAGAGTGTGAGAGACGATCCGGAACAATCAAGAACACGTCGATCCCAAGAATTGGGCATTTCGAGAACCAGTTTGCTACGCATTCTCCACAAGGATTTGAATGTACACGCCTACAAGATCCAATTGACGCAAGAGCTGCGTCGGGCCGACCATTTTTCGCGCCGAACGTTCTCAGATTGGCTCCTTGGACACCGCCAAATTGATGCCAATTTTTCATGAAAAATCATGTTCAGCGACGAAGCGCATTTCACTTTGAATGGGACGGTAAACAAGCAAAACTGCCGCATCTGGGCGAACGAAAATCCCCGTGAGTATCAAGAGCAGCCGATGCATCCTCAAAAAGTGACTGTGTGGTGTGCATTGTGGTCAAAAGGCATCATCGGACCTTAATTTTTCGAAAATGCGGCCGGGGACGCCGTTACCGTCAATTCTGAGCGATATCACGTGATGATAGAGGACCATTTTTTGCCGCAACTTGAAGGAATTGATACGGACGATGTTTATTTCCAACAAGACGGTGGAACATGGCACACAACCAACGTCAATATCCATCGATTGCAGTCCTTTTTCGGTGATCGCTTGATTTCGCGCAGAGGAAATGTGCCATGGCCACCATGACCGTGCGATTTGACTCCCTTGGACTTCTTTTTATGGGGATATTTGAAAAGCAAAGTCTACGTCAACAAACCAGCCACCCTCCAAGAACTCAAAAACAACATCATTGCCGAGATAAATGCCATAGAACCGACCATGTTGCAAAATGTCATTGAAAATTTCGACCATCTCGTGGACGTCTGTAAATCCAGTCGTGGTGAACATTTGAGCGATATTATTTTTCATACATAAATGGTATAAATGAACCTTCAAAATAAAGTACCCAACTTGATTTGAATATCAATTTTTCTTGTTTTAGTATGCGTTTACTTTCCTGCGTTCGTTTTAGACAACCCCATACATTAAAGAATAATGACATCTTAGAGAGAGATACCAGCTATACTTTTTTGCGTTATATTGTATTAAATACCTATTATAGAATATTCGCAGTATTGCCTGTATTAAATAAAATAGTAATAAGTAATATCATATACATTTCTCGCCAAGTCAGAAAAAACGATTTTGGGAAAATTCGCTTGTTCCCAGGAAGTACTTTGAATTTTGTTAGTTACTTAAATACGCCGCTTTGGATATCGGGGGTCTGTAACGTCTGCTTAATGCAGGTCTAAGAACTGGCAAAATATACCTACACAAAAATCCGAAATACAGAAACTTCCCCCGCTCAAGCAAACCAGAGAACCTAATCTTTCCACGTCTAGCAAGTTTGATTTTAAGAAAGCTTCAACTAATTTGTTTAGGAGTAATATATCTGTAGCTACTTCAAAGCCAATGAAAGAAAATTATGTACCGAGATGAAATGGCGACTGAAAAACCTGAGAGATTTTTTTGCCGGACTACAAGCTCCTCAGAGTTTTCCAAATTACAGAGTTTTCCATTAACCAAATTTAATTTATCTGGTTCTACGACTTCACGGATTACCTAGAAGTTTTTTTATTACGAGGTGGACTTCGGCCAAGTTTGTTCGAACTTGATTTTAATTCAGTTACTAGGCTGGGACCTCTCGAATATCAAAATCTTGCTTGACTCGCCAATGCATTTGGCGAATACTCTCTTCCCAGTGTCATAAAATGGAGCCGTAAGCTTATATACGCCATTTTTAATTGATTTTGCCAAAAAGAAGAGATTTTGTTCTTTGCCCTCGATTGTATGTACGTAGAAACTGTCGATCCCAACTAAAGTCATAGGAAGTCAGTAAGTGTATACAGGGTGTCCCGAAAAATGTGTGCAATATTCTACCAGCGGTTTCTAGAGCTTAAAATAGTAAGAAAAGTTTATATAAACATAGGTCGACAAACGTCCCCTAAGGGCGCTACGGTCTTTTAAAGGGGCTCCCTTGAAGATGGTTTTCCCTTAATATTTTCGAGATAAAGACATAACATTTGGTATTCTAGCCTAGTTTTTTAGGCTGGATTTAAAAATATTAACAATTTTAGACAGTTTTGTTTGGAAGCATGTGTAACAGGGACGGACTCAGGTTATTTTAGCCCCAAAATTTTTGTGTGAATCTATTTTTTAAATTCAATTTTAGAATTTGAAAATCTAGGGTTTTCTACATAAAAAAGGTACTCTTATTAAATATCGATAAATTGTGCCATTTTTGAATAAAATCAAACTAAAAAATTTGTCACATGATAGGAAATGTACTGCGAATTTAAATGAATTGTTGATTATTACATTGTTAGCCATGACTGTAAACAAAATTGTTTTGATTAGTTATGACGTGTTTAGACGTTAAGCTGACATTGTTATTAGTGTAAAATTACTAGATTAAAATCAAAATTTTTATTAAATCGTTTATATAATCTTTTTTTCCTATTTTAAGCTCTAGAAACCGCTGGTAGAATATTGCACACCTTTTCCGGGACACCCTGTATAATCTTATTTGTTCATTTGTGATTTTTGTCTTTGATACGATTTTGTCATTATAGTATGTTGAGCTTATTTTGTATACAGGGTGATTCACAAGTCGTGACCAAAGATGAAACATCATACACTGGTCCGCATTTTAAGGGCGGTCTTGTATGTAACACTTTTTCCTCAAGGGTTGAAGTTTAAAAATAAAAAAAAAATTTTCTTAGTATCTTCAAAACCGTCAACTGAAAAGAAGTAAAATTTGGTATGTGGATTTACCTAAGCATTAGGTAAGATTTGTGACATTATTTTTCCAAATAAAAATAGTACTGCACTTTTTTGAAACGCGCAATTTCTAGAATTTTACTTTCAATTTGCTATCACTGGACAACAAATTTTAGTTTTTTAATTGTATCTTGTGGGAAAAGTGCACTTCTTTGTTAATTTTGGGGCGCTGAATCCAAAAATGACAATGAAATAAAAAAATTGGTTGCGGTTTAGAAAAAAAACTTTTTATTTTTAAGGATGTATTAAAAAAAGTAACAAGATTCATATACTTATAAGAATCACTATATGCGCTGTATTTTTGCTGTTCTTTTATGGATCGTTTCTGGAGCATCTCTACCAAGAGTCCAACAGTAGTCTGCATGCATGGAAGGATTCCACTTTCCCTGGTACCTTTTTCCATTGTTGAAATATCCTGATGAAAACGTTCGCCGTGCTCATCACTTACGGCTCCGCAATTGTCAGGAAAAAAGTCTAGGTGTGAGTGTAGGAAATGCATCTTAAGAGACATATTACAGCCCATCTTTTGATACGATGACAGCATATTTTTGACAAGGGTTTTATAGTTGTCAGCTTTTACTATTTCCCAAGAAGTTAGTGACCACCAGACAGAAATCATTCCAAGCACTTTTTCTAATACCTGTTAAAGTATTTTCAAACTGTGTATCTTTCAAAATATTTCGAATCTGTGGCCCAACAGAAATACCTTCTTTAACCTTTACCTCACTTAGTCTTGGAAATTTCTGACGCAGGTATTGAAAAGCTTACCCATCTCTATCTAATGCCTTGACAAAGTTTTTCATTAGGCCCAACTTGATATGCAGTGCTGGTAATAAATTTTTTTTCGAATCTACTAATGGCATATCCTGTACATTTTTTTGACCTGGCTCTAGGAATTGACGAACAGGCCAGTTTTTTCTGGTGTAATGAAGTACCTTTGCCCGACTGTCCCATTCACACAAAAAACAGCAAAACTTTGTGTAGCCTAGCTGCAGCCCAAGTAAAAGTTCAACAACTTTCAAATCGCCACAAATATGCCATTGGTGCTCATCGTATTTTATGCATGTCAATAGGTACTTCATATTGTCATATGATTCTTTCATGTGAACTGCATACCCTACAGGAAGAGATGGTAAAATATTTCCAATGTGCAATAACACTGCCTTTAAACTCAATGTTGAACTGTCTATAAACAATCTCCATTCTTCTGGGTTATAGTTTATATTTAAAGCCGCCAGTAAGCCGTTAATGTTACTGCAGAAAACCAAGTTATTCTCCATATTGAAAAATGATTCTAAGTCTTTGTGGCGTTTAAGAAAAACACATACCGAAACATCGTCTTCTAACAAGTTCCATTGCTGCAGTCTTGATCCAAGTAACTCTGCCTTTAGAAGTTCTAAATCTCTTACAAGATCATTTAATTCTGACTGTGTTATTTTGTGCGGTTGGTGGCATGACGTGCTCGGTATAAAATCAGGATCTCTTGACGTTGATTTCATATTTTCTTCCTGACGAATCACTCGATCGCCATGATCTGATTCGTTTTCTGATTCGCAAGTGTAGGATTCTGGGGGTTTTGGAATAGGATTTTCGTCACTGTGAGGCACAGGTCTCATCGCAGATGGTATGTTTGGGTAGTTAATAACCGATTTTTTTTTCTTGGACATACCTGTGGCTTGTCCAATACAAGGTCCCATGCAAAAGTAACAATCATTAATATGATTTGTAGGCTCTCTCCAAACCATTGGGACAGCAAAGCGCATAGACCGTTTTTTGCCATTTAACCAGCTCCTCAGACTTGAAGCACATGTATTACAGCAGATGTGGGGTGCCCACTGTTTGTCTTGATCACCTAGTTTACAATCGAAATAAAGCTGATATGTCTCTGTTCTTAGTGGAGTAATAGACCGTCTCTGAGACGCAAAAGTCACATCACCACACACGTAACAAAACTGATCTGGATTGTTTACACACTTTCGAGACATCTTGCATGAACGCTGTCAGCCAACTGAGGAAAAAATGGCTAATATAAAACAATACAATGTACACGTATGTATAACGTAACACAATCATGCCGATTACATCATCTTTCCTTGCCGAATATAAAAATGTAGCACGTGCATTATTGTGAATTACAGTATATTAACACTGTCACAGCAGGAACACATATAATTATCTCTAAAACTTGAACTAATATTGAAAAAATAAGTTTCATTCCAGTTTTAGCACATTAAAATAGTAATATTTTGTTGATTTTATTTAGGATATTTGTTGGCTGTTGATTAGTGATAATTACTCTTGTGTTTTTTTCCTAGAGTTGCATTGTTTTCGTAAAAATAAAAAAAAATTAGATATTCAAAGCCTTATTTTGATTATGCATTTGCAGTAACGACTCAAAAAATTTCGGTGTTGCACATTTTGTCAATGTTGAAAATGTAAAGCTTCCATATTAAAAATTCTCCACGC